GGCCGTGAACGTGCCACTGCACTCCAGCCTGGGCGACCGAGTGAAACTATGACTCAAAAAAAAAAGATTCTCATAATTAGCACACAACCTCGATCCCTCAGATGCGCAGTTCACAATAGGGTTCACACCTATGAGAATCCAATGCCGCGGCTGATCTGACGTAGGTGGAGCTCCACACCTGCTGTGCAGCCCGGTTTCTAACAAGCCATGGACGGGTCTCAGTCCGCGGTTGGGGGGTGCTGGGGACCCCTGATCTGGTGGACTAGTCTCTAGTGGACAAGGCAAGCTCCCCTCCCTGGATTAACGTGAACGAGGCTTTGAGATCTTGGCGGGATGGCTCCTAGCATGGTGCTTGGTGAGGAGGATGGGGTTGGGGTCAGGAAATGGGAGTGCGGTTGGGGTCCAGGATGCGAATGGAGATGACGATGTTGTCGCCACGAAACTGACCTGTCCTCTGTGGTCCTCAGCTCCTACACCGTCGGGCTGGGCCTGCACAGTCTGGAGGCCAGCCAGGAGCCGGGCAGCCGGATGGTGGAGGCCACGCTCTCCATTCGGCACCCGGAGCACAACAAACCCTTTCTTGCCAATGACCTCATGCTCATCAGGCTGAGTGAAGCAGTGCCCCCGTCTGACACCATCCAGAACATCAGCGTGGCCTCCCAGTGCCCCACCGCCGGGGACTCCTGCCTCGTCTCTGGCTGGGGTCTGCTGGTGGACGGTGAGTTCATGAGCTCACATCTGCCCTCTTGGGGTCCTGTGCCTTGGCCCCAGGGACTGACCCGGAGCTCTGTGTCGCAGGCAGACTGCCCACGGTGCTCCAGTGCGTGAATGTGTCGGTGATGTCTGACGAGGCCTGCAGTGAGCTCTATGACCCGGTGTACCACCCCAGCATGTTCTGTGCCGGTGGGGGACAGGACCAGAAGGACTCCTGCAATGTGAGTGGAGGGGAGGGACGGGGGCTCAGGGAGAGGTGGGGGAGGAGCAGAGACTCAGGGAATGCATGGTGAGATGGCAGAGACACAGAAGGAGATAGTGACAAAGGGAGAGAGAGACTGGGAGAAACAGAAATAGAGACAGGCATAAAAAGAAGAAACAGGCCAGGCACGTGGTTCACGCCTGTAATCTCAGCACGTTGGGAGGCCAAGGTGGGAGGATTGCTTGACGCCAGAAGTTTGAGACCAGCCTGGGCAACAGAGTGAGACCTTATCTCCACAAAAATATCAAAATATTACCTGGGTACGGTGGTGGGCATGCACCTATAGTCCCAGCTACCTTGGGCTAAGGCAGAAGGATGGCCTGAGCCCAGGAGGTCAAGGCTGCAAGGAACCATGATCATACCACTGAATTCCAGCCTGGGCAACAGAGTGAGACCTCAACTTAAAAGAGAGAGAAAAACAGAAATAGAGAGACAGGGAGGCAAAAACATATACAAAGAGAGCAATATGTTTGGCCCTTGAACAACTGAGGTGTGGGGAAGGGGCAGTAATCACCCCTGCAAAACTCACAGTAGAAAATCCAGGTATCACTTTTTTAAAAAAATGCCTGGTCTTGCTATGTTGCCCAGGCTGGTTTCAAGATCCTGGCTACAAGCAATCCTCCTGCCTCAGCCTCCCAAGTAACTGGAATCACAGACATGAACCACTCCATCAGGCTACTGGCATATAATTTTTGACTTCCTGACAACTTAACTAATAGTCTAGGGTTAACTGGAAGCCTTAGAGATCATGTAAACAGTCAATTAACACATATATGTCATGCATTCATGACATACCTACTCCCCCCACCCCGCTTTTTTATTAATAGTCTAGGCTATGTGTTTCCTCTATGAGTTTTTTCAAATTGTTACAAATTTCCAAAACATGTTATATGTATTGAAAAAAATCTACATACAAGTAGACTCACACAGGTCAAGCCCATGTTGTTCAAGGACCAAGTGTAATACCCAGATAGAAACAAAGACACAGACAGACTCAGAGAGATGAAATGCAGAGAGATAGAAAAAATCCAGAATATGTAGAGAAACACAGAGACACTGAGATAAGCCATGGGGGAGACAAAGATGGAAAACAGACAAACAGAGACCGACCAGCAACAAACCCGAGAGAAGTAGCCAGCTCTCCGGATGCAGGACACGGGGGAGCAGGCTAGGTGGGGTCAGGGCTGTGGGGTGGAACTTTCAAGGGCCGTCTTTGTCCTTGGCCACCTTCGAGTCCTCCCTAGTCCCATGTCTACCTCCACCTCTCCACATTTCAGGCCCTGACTCACTCTCTCTCTCCACAACAGGGTGACTCAGGGGGGCCCTTGATCTGCAACAGAACCCTGCAGGGTCTCGTATCTTTTGGACAAGCCGAATGTGGCCAAGTCGGCATTCCAGGTGTCTACACCAACCTCTGTAAATTCACTGACTGGATAGAGAAAACCATCCAGGCCAGTTACCCTGGGGACGAAGATTCATGAAACTGACCCCCAAATATGTCCTGCTGAAGGAATTCAGGAATCTAGGTGTCCCGCCCCTACTCCTTCAGACCCAGGAATCTAGACCCCAGCCCCTCCTCCCTCAGACTCAGGATTCCAGGCCCCAACCCCTCCTCCATCAGACCCAACAGTTCAGGCCCCAGCCCCTCCTCCCTTGGTCCCAGAAGTCCAGACCCCAGCCCCTCTTCCCTCAGACCCAGGATTTCAGGCCCCCAGCCCCTCCTCCCTCAGACCAGGAGTCCAGACCCCCACCTTCCCCCCTCAGACCCAATAGTCCAGGCCCCAGCCCCTCCTCCCGCAGACCAAGAGTCCAGGCCCCAGCCCCTCCGGCCCCAGACCCAGGAGTCCACGCCCCCAGCCCTCCTCCTTCAGACCAGGTGTCCAGTCTCCCTTAGAATTTTTCCTGTTCACGATAGAGCACCCCTAGTGGCCTAATGTTGATCCAACCTTACCGGTGTCAGAGAAAGTTAGTTTTTCACCTTTTTGTCCCCTTCCCTTAGATCCAGAAATAAAGTCTAAGAGAAGCACAGTTTCTGTCTAAAGTGTCCTCCTTGCTTCCCCCTCGTTCAAAAGATTCCCACAGAGAGCTTTTCCTTCGTGGGCCTCAGTTTCCCCATCTGGGAAGTGGGAGCTTTGAGGATGAGGGCAACGAGGTTTCACAAGGAGGAGCTGTTGGCTGAGAGGTTAAGAGAAGCCAATTCTGTGAACGTCGTCCGGTCTCTGGAAAGTCAAGGTAGCACATGGCAAGCGTGTGGGGTTTTCCTGCCTGGTTGAACTACTCAGCTCTGGTGGACTCGTGTTGGTGTTCGTGTTCCTAACTGCATCCTAAGAATCTTTCATTTGTATCCGCTTCGGGACCCTGCTGTGTAGCTGGAGACTGAGATAAATTGTGACCAGGGCTGCTGTGAGTGAGATCCAGAGACCGAGGGGCACAGGAGGGGAGACTGAGGGCCCGGGAATGTGAGGAATTGCTGTTATTCTCTTCGCTGATAAATTATACTTGTAAGGATATGCTCACAAGCATTTATATTCGCCAGGCACAGTAGCTCACACCTGTAATCCCAGCACTTTGGGAGGTGGAGGCAAGAGGATTGCCTAGCCCAGGGGTTCGAGACCAGCCTGGGCAGCTTGGCGAGACCTCGTCTCTACAATAAATAAAAAAATTAGCTGGGCGTGGTGGCTTATGCCTGTTTTTCCAGCTACTTGGAAGGCTGAGGTGGAAGGATCGCCTGAGCCCAGCAGGTTGAGGCTACGGTGGCTGTGAGCATGCCACTGCACTTCAGCCTGGGTAACAGAGTGAGACTCAGACGCAAACAAACAAAAAAAAAAAATTATATTCAAGGGTATATCCAGAAACATAGTGTTTATGAATAAATATATTTATAAGGAGTTATTCACATTTTTATCTCTTAATAGAGCCTCAAAATATACAAAGAGTGGGGTGAAAAAACTAAAATAGACAAATTTTGTTTCATAGAAGTGGATTTAAGTTGACTTTTAGAAAGTGATAGGGAAAAAAACAAGATAGAAATGAATAAAGAGATAGAAGATCTGTAATCCCAGCACTTCAGGAGGCCAAGATAAGAGGATTGCTTGAGCCAATGAGTTCAAGACCAGCCCAGGCAACATAGCAAGACCTCATCTCTACAAAAGATCAAAAAAATAGCTAGGTGTGGTGGTGCATGCCTGTAGTCCCAGCTACTCTGGAGGTTGAGGCAGAAGAATCGCCTGAGCCCAGGTGGTGAGACCCCAACATATATATATGACAATTAAGTTTGTAAACTCATCCTAGAAAAAGAGCTACATACCTCATTGCTGAATATCACTATGGGCACCTTCAAAGTACTCCCCTTGGGAAGCTATGCACCCATGGGAGACTATGGGGGACTATGCACCTAGTCCACTGCCAAAGCAATTTTGGAACTCTTTCTGGAATGGTCATCAGGGCTCTCATATTACCTCTGATGTCCTGTCATCAAAATGTCTTCCTTTCAATATTTTCTATATCTTTGGGTAAAGAAAAAAGTCCTTGGGGGCCAGATCAGGTGAGTAGAGAAGGTGTTCCAATAGTCATTTGTTCACTGGCTAAAAACTCCCACACAGACTGTGCTGTGTAAGCTGGTGCATTGTCATGATGCAAGAGTTCCTTCAGGACCATTTTTGCACACATCTTTCTCATGCCAAGATTTTCAGTTAAGATTTTCTAACTGTTTCTCTATAGATGTTTATTTGGTTCTCTATGCTTTTCACAGTCAGCTAATGATTTTGACACACAATTCAATGAATGTTTGCAATGTTTTCATCAGTTCTTCTCATTACTGGCCGTCCTGACCTCTCTTCATCAGTGACATTTTCTCTCCCCTCAGAAACACACTTAATCCTTTTGTACACTGCCATTTTCCTCATGGCATTATCCCCATAAACTTGGACTAACATGTCCCTGATTTCACTTCCACTCTTGTCAAGTTTAACAAGAAGTTTAATGTTTGTTCATTGCTCTGATTCAATCTCCAACATTCTCACGACAGCACACAAAACACGCAACAGTAATGAACACCACTCAGCAAGACACTGCCACACCTTGGCACAAACACAGCTGTGTTGTGTTATGATATACCAAGATTGTGAAACTTCACTGAGTTGTTGGTACAGTCCTGCCAACATAAGCTCACGGTGACAAGTTCACAAACTTAATGGTCAGACCTTTGTATGATTGACAAACTTTATCTAAGGGTCATATATAGAACACTTCACTCTGTATCCAGAGAATACAGAATCTTTTCATTTCTTTCTTTCTTTCTTTCTTTCTTTCTTTCCTTCTTTCTTTCTTTTTTTTTTTTTTTTTTTTTTGAGTTGGAGTCTCACTCTGTCACCCAGGCTGGAGGGCAGTGGCACACTCATGGCCACCACAGCCTTGACCTGCTGGGTTCCTAAGATCCTTCCACCTCAGCCTTCCAAGTAGCTGGAACTACAGGCACGCACTACCACGCCTGGCTAATTTTTTATTTTTTGTAGAGACGAGGTCTTGCCAATTTGCCCAGATGGGTCTCAAACCCGCGGGCTCAGGCAATTCTCTCACCTTAGCCTCCCAAAGTGCTGGGATTACAGGTTGAGCCACTGAGGCTGGCCAGAATCTTTTCAGAAGTCACACAACTACCAGGATGACTGAAATGGAAAAGAATGACTGCACCCACTTTTGGGTATATCTGGAGTGGCTGTAAAGTTCTCCCGCACTGCTGTGGGGGTAAAAATGGTCCATCCACTTTGGAAAACAGTTTGGCAGATTCTTAGAAAGAGAAACATACATCCACCTCACGGTCAGCAATTCTACTGCTGAGTGTTTATGTAAGATCCATGGAGGGGCATGGGGAAAGGACTTGGGTAAGAATGCTCACAGAGCTTGATTCACAGTAGCCAAATTAGAAAGACAGCAAATGTTGGATAATGGGTGAATGGAAAAACAAACCACGACAGACCCATCCAATGGAATACCACTCAGCAGTGAGAAGAAATGAACTATTTGATGCAGACAACAAGGCAAAGGCATCTCAAAATCGTTATGCTGAGTAAAAGAAGCCAGGCACAAAATACAGTATATCGTATGGTTACCTTCATATGGAATTCTAGAACAGGCAAAACTAATCAATGTTGCCTGGTTGCTGGGATGGGAAAGGGGAATAGGCATGGACACAGACTGGGAAGGAACCTGAGAGAACTTTCTGTAGTGGCTGAAATTATCTATAAGCGAGGGCTACCCAGGTGTGTGCATTTGCCAAAATGTATCCAACTGTACACTTGAAACCTGTCCATTACACCGTGTATACCTCATAAAAACTTTACCGCAATTAAAAAACCACACACAGCATTTACAAAAATGAATCAGATACGGAGGTGTGAAGCAAGTCTCAACAGATCTCCAAGTTAGAATATATAGAGAATGTTGTCTGACCACAATGTAATTAAGCTAGAAATTATGACAAAATGACGACCAGAAAATCCTTGCATGTTTTGTTTTTAAAAGAACTCCCCTCCCCCCCAAAAAAACCCCACAACTTGGCCAGAAACAGTGGCTCATGCCTGTAATCCCAGCACTCTGAAAGGCCAAGGTGATAGAATCACCTGAGCCCAGGTTTGACACAAGCCTGGGCAACATCATGAGAGCTGGTTTCTACAAAAAAAACATAAAAATTCACCAGCTGTGGTGGCATGCGCCTGTAGTTCCAGCTACTCTGAAGCCTGAGGCTGCAGTGAGCCAGGACTGTGCCACTGCACTCCAGCCTGGGAGACAGGGTGAGACCCTGTCTCAAGAGAAAAAAGAAAAAGGAGGAAAGAAAGAGAGAGAGAGAGGTAAGGAGAGAGGGAGGAAGAGGGAGAGAGAGAGAGAAAAGGGGAAAAAAACAACCTTACAACTCAAGCAAGAAATTTAATAAAAATTAGAAAATATTTTGAACTAAATGCCAAGGAAAATATAAGATATGTATACATGTACGTGCCTACTACAGTGCTTGGAGAGAAATACATTAGAAAAGAAAAAGAGCTAAATGTTAATTAATGATTCAGTCATCTCCAGGAATAAGAATAACAGCAAAATAAACTCCAAGAGGTGGGGGGAGGGAAATATCAAAGATAAGAGCAAAACCTAATGTCAGAGAAAACAGGAATGCGCTAAAGAGTGACAGGTTTGTTTTCTTTTCTTTTTTTTTTTTGAGTTAGAGTCTCACTCTGTCGCCCAGACTGGAGTGCAGTGGCCGCTCCTGGCCACCACAGCCTCGACCTGCTGGGTTCCGGCGATCCTTCTGCTCAGCCTTCCAAGTTGCTGGAACTACAGGCGCGCGCTACCACGCCCGGCAAATTTTTTGATTTATTGTAGAGATGAGGTCTTGCCCAGGCTGGTCTCGAACCTGCGGGCTCAGGCAATCCACTCACCTCAACCTCCCAAAGCGCGGGATTACAGGCTGAGCCACCAAGTCCAGCAACAAGTTTGTTTTCCAATTGGTTAATAAGATGGGTATGCCCCA